TTCAACAAAAAAATATTTACATCAGCCATAAAAAAGGAGGCAGCATCGACAGAGTTGTTCAGTTTCTGCATGAAGAGCTGTCGCCTTTTACAATATTTTACATATTTGTAAGCTCGTGTGTGTGTGTGAGTGAGTGTCCTTTGTCCTTGTTGCTGCCAAAGCCTTGTCAGCTTCACGCGTGAGCAGCTACTTGTGTGTTGGCAAGATATTGCAACAGCAGCTACCTCGCTCTCTCTCTCTCTCTCTCTCTCTCTTTTTCTCTCTCTTTTTCTCTCTCTTTTGCATAATCGCTGCGAAATTGCATTTTGCGGTTAAAGCGTCGCTTGATATGCAATCATAGCAGCATATATTTATAATATATTATATATATATTATATATATAAATATATATGCATGTGACTTGCTTTGGTGTTAAAATACAAAAGCTCTCTTTCATCAGAGCTTATGTACTTTGATAGATATTCAACTTTAAAATGAGTTTTATAGCCAGCTTCTCGAACGATTATAGTTAAAGCAGCTCATTTGATTGATAAACACAGCAGGCATATTGAGAAGAATGAGTTATGAGAAGTGCTCAGCTCTGTCAGCCCAAAGGGGCAATAAATAGAATTCGCAAGTCTCTGTCAAGCGCGAACTAAATTTGGTTTGCTCAGAACCTTCAAGCAAAACGTTAGCAAATTAAATTAAACTAAATTATATTTGAAAGAAATTTATAAATTTTTAAAATATTTAAACAACGTTGGCTATTAGCGGATGGGTCGCTAAACAGAAATCTTATAAAAAAATCATGAATTTGCAACTAAAAATACTTTTCATTGTATCTGATCAGCTGTCGCACCTGGTTCACCTTGCTCAAGTTTCTTCTACACTTCAGACAAAAACAAAAGACTTATAAATTATTTACGTTCTATAAGACACTGTAATCTTATATATATATATATGTATACAGATATATATATATATAAGCAAAGTTAGAAATGGAAAGAAGCTCAGATGAGTTAAAAAGTTTTGCTCAAACAACAAACGAAGTAAAAATAGAAATAAAATAATAAATGTGAATGTATCTACTGCCATATAATATACATAAACATATTTCTGTATCTATATGTTTTCAAAAATACTTGTGCTTATATATTTAACTGGAAAATCTCAAATTCCTGCGCCTAATCACAGCTCTGTGGGGTCTGAAACCAAAGGCGATCGGCGTGGCTTGATTGCAGTTACCTTGGGCATATATCCGTGTGCCTTGTGCTGGAGTCTGCTGTTGGTTGCTGCTACTGCTGCTGCTATCTTAAGACCTGTCTCGGCATTGCATTCAATTTGGTTCTGGTATTAAGTTTTCAAGCTGCAGCTTGAAACTTGATAAATAAATTACTTGCCAGCCTGACAGACAGACGGGCAGACGGGCAAACGGGCAGATGGTGGCGGTAGCAGGCAGGAGGCTTCACTGTGCTCACTGGCGGACAGTCGAAACGGACGGCAGCAGCAGCCTTCGCACTTGCACTTTACACTATTCTTAGAATTATTGCAGTCAATTGAAGCTCTGGACGAGCTGTGCAAGGACGAGCTGAGATGGCTCGAAGTAGTAGAAAAACTAGTCGAAGGCTGAGTAGGTTGGGGGGTAGACTAGGTTAGCTGCTGGATAAAAATTGCTATTTGTAGTTTTCATACACTCAAAAAAAGGTTGCTGCACTATTTGATGTAGAGTGACGCCTAAGAGATGTTTGGAGTTAATTTGAAATGTTTTTCATTGGAGAAATAAATTGTTAAAGAATTAGTTTTTGTTCGAAAAGTTTTATTTAATGAGATTTGTTAGTGAAAATTAAATGTTATAATGGGAGTTTTATATAAAGATAAAAAGCGTCAGTTGGATACAAGCTCTGAATTTTAAATTCGCTTGTTGAGTTTAGATAGGGTTAGCTGCTTGAAAAGTAAGGATGATTCTTGCTATTACAAATTACAATAATTATATAAAAATTATTTCATAATACCATCTAGAGTTAGCGCATCAAATCTTCGTCTATTGAAAGTTGACTTTCCTTCCATTCCATTTTCTCTTTTTGCAATTTGCCTCGGGGCTGTGGAAAATATTTGTATTTCTTAGCAAGCGGCGTAAATATCGAGTCGAGTTGAGTTCAAGTCCGAAAGTCGTTTGTGCAAATGGAAGCATGGTTGAGGTAGGCAACGGATTCAGTATCCATTTGATACGGTTCTTGGACCTCCAGCTCTGCGTGTGTGTGTGGGTATGTGTGTGGGCTGTGAATTGAGCCGCTTTTGGAGGGTTTAAGTACAGGTCGCTGGCATTAGCATGGCGCCGCGTTCAACCGATTGCCTGACTTTGACTAATGCCCGGCCCAGGCTCAGTCCCAGAGCCCGGCCATGTTCGTGCAACAGTTTTATTGATTTTGTGCTTGAAATTGATTTGGTGCCATAATTCAAGGCGGACGCGTTTTGGGCTAAAATGTGCGAACTGACTTTCAATCAATTTAACGCATAATTCCTGATGGATTTAATCGTAATTGATGATTGATTACGGCTACACAACTTTTGCGCGCGGCTCTCTTGAGAATCACGAAACAACTTAGTGACTGTGTGTGTGTGAACGAGTGTATATGCCTGTGCGTGTGTGTATGTGTGGGTGTGCGCTTCTCCCCCTTGCAGCAATTTGTGGCGCGCACACTTTTGGCCGGCATTTAGCCGTAATATTGTGTAATTTATATTCGCTTAGCTTAATCGAACTTAACTCTGAGCAACGCTGTTACCTGGCAGTTGCCTGATACGCCACGCCACGCCTATACCCCCGCCTGTCGCCGGCCTCTCTTTCATTATGGCGGCGACATAAATCAATGTCGGATTCGCGGTAGCCGAGCGGCTCTGTCGAATTTATATCTATCTATCTGCATTCACTGCTCAGATTGTGGACAGCGGTTGACATCAAAGCTGCACTCGATTTTAATTAAATGTATGACATGCCACGCCCCCCGTCCCCCCTCTCACAGCTTTGCTTGTAGCCGCTTTTCAATTGCTATGCAATTCCTTAATGCTTCCTCCTTTTTATTTTCATTTTTTTGTCGCTTAGATTCGTTGTGCCCGCCATGTAAATAAAATGCAAAGCTCTGCCATTTGCGCTGAATGCAAAAAGCATTTTATGTAACTTACCAAGTAATTTCGGCCTTTGAAGCGAGCTTCTTTTTTTTTTTGATAAAGTGAAGTCCATTAGGATTTTGGTGCAAGTTGTCAGGGATATGCATATTTGAATATTGATGAAATTATCTTAAAATTCATAAAATTTTTAGTGCATTTTTATTTGAATGAATGAAATATGGTGAAGAACTGTTGGGAAATGTGTGATATTTTTATATAATTAGAAACGATTAAAATTAAAGAAAAATTAATATAAATATTCAAAATACTAAAAAATTTCGAAAAATTTTAAAATATGTTTTCACATTATTTATTATATATAATTTATTAAACCTATTTTAAATTATATTTATGCTTATATTTACTTCTATTTTAATTTTAATTTTAATTTATTCCTTTTATTGCATTAATAATTTATCTATATTCTGTTATGTTTGTGTCTTTCATAAATTCATTATTTATTTATTTAGTGTACATCTACTTTATTTGGTAATAAATTTATAATTGTTTTATATTTAATAAAATTATTCTTTGCTTAATTATTTTAATTTCTTTAATTAAATATTGATAAAAATAATTAAAATTTTTTAATTTGTATTTGCATTTAATGTTTGTTTGAATTTTGAATATTCATTATGCAGAATATTTTTAGGGAGTGTATTAAGCTGGCGTCCTGCTATCTTAAATACTTTCTGTTGGCTCTTGTGTTTGTTTGTTTACTCTTTTTTTAGCTTCCTTTATAATTTTAAGCTTTTTTCCGGAACAGTTTTTATGCGCATTTTTCTACAGACTCTGCTGAAATCAATGTGAGCTGCGTTGAGTCGCTAGCCTTAACTACCCCCAGAAACAAACCCCAAACCAAGCCATTTGTACCCTTGCTCTTACTCTGCTGCCCAGCTGCTGTCTGTGATTTCGCAAAGTGCGGTGATGTCCTGTTCGTTCCGTTTGGTGCAAGAACATTTTATTTAAACACATGTTCGTAAATAAATACACGCACACATACATCCTTATATTTATATATGTGTGTATATATGGCTGGTGTCAGGTAAACCGAAACGCTTTAAATCTCCTTGTCCAAGCTACCTGCCCTAGTCTCTTTGGCTTGCTATTTGCCTGTGCCAGCCTGCGCAGATAGCTTACATTTGGCATAAAAAGGACTCGCAACGTATATATATTTATACAAACAAAAAAATAAAAGAAAACACCAACAACAACAACAGCAACAGCAAACAGCATGTTAAAAACAGTTTTATGCACTGCCAGTACGAAACTGAAATAAAATAAATGTGCTAGCTGTCCGTCTGTCCGTCTGTTCGTTCAGCTGTCTGTCTGTCCAACTGGTTGGTCGCTTGGTTTGCTTGGCTGAATGGCCCACGCCTCAATGCCTGGCCATGTCGTTGCTAGTTTGCCCAAAAAATGACTGAGTCAGAGAGAGAGAATCTGCTTTAAAAAGTGATTTTAACACGCGCGTACACATCAAAATAAACGGACAGAAAAGCGTCGACACTTTCACAAGAGAGAGAAAGAGAGATAGACAGAAGGAGAGAGAGTATTATAGAGCTCCTAACTCGTAGCGGAGATCGTAAAGTACGCACAAAGCAGAGCAGAGCAAAACAATTTTTATGCCTCGATAGAAAAGCGTTTGGCTGTCAGCTTTTACCTTTCAGTTCGATATATGTACAGCTTTTCAATTTAGGAATACACTGCCAGAAATAACAGTTGAGAAATTCTCAGAAAATGGAGAAATTCACAGAAAAAAAATTGATTTAAATATGGTTCCTAGAACAAACCGAATTGGCTAAAGAAAATACATTCGCATTCCTTTAATTACATACAATTTAATTTTTTCATTTCAGCCTTAATTTGTTCACCTATTTCTACACTGAAAAAGAAGTTACATGCAGTATATATTTTATTGAGTAAGTGTTATTTAAAAGGCAAAATCATTTCTGTTAGTAAAAAATTAATGTTATAAATTGAAAATTTAATGCTATTGGTAAAAAAAGACAAAAAATGAATATTTTTTTATCACATTATATTTTTTTTATTTTATTAACAATAGCTTGCAACAAAATGTTATAAATAAAATAATTAATTTTTTGTTTTTTTTTTATAAATATGCTTAATTTATTTATTTATTTGTAATTAATTAAGTTATATATTTATTAATTATAATTATAGCAAAAAATTTTAATGCACTTAATTACATTTTATTTTTAATTGATTCACTTATTTATTTTTTATTGCCAATTTACCTTTTTTATTATTTATGGTTATTATTTATTATTTACATTTAATTTTAAGTAATTTTACTTAAATACTTATTTATCAATAATATATTTGTTTTCTTTTTATTTCATTTATTTTTTCATTTATTTTATATTTTTTTTTTTCCAGTTTTTACATGAGAAATCGAGGCACCTGAATCCACTACTATACTAATATACTGGTAAAAGATTAAAAACGCCCGACATATACCTAAATATAAGAAGTAAATTATAGAATTTAATCGATTTAATAGAAACGGAAAAACTCCTGATTATTTAGAATGACATTGATGGCAATGCGTCTCTCGCCCTTATAGGATTCCATGTTAATAAACGAACTTATTTATATTTTATCGTTTGAAATATTTGGCTTAAGCTTAACGAATCAGTTTTGTGTATCTCATTTCATACTACATAAAATGTATACTCTAGCACTCTATGACCTTTCTTACAGTGTAACAGCTATGGTTCTGCAGGCTTTACAATTTTCAGCTTTGGAAAAACGTTTGAGTTAATGAATTGAAGCTGTTTGTCCTGGCTTAGCCATACCCTTTAGCACATTTTTTGCTCTCGAGTTTATCTTTATGTTAGCTAACTGCCTGCAATTGAAGTTGATTGCATTTTTTTTATTGATTAATTGATTGATGGAGTTCAAGTGTGCATAGGCATGTGCTGTGTGTGTGTGGGTTCGGGCGTTGCTGCAGGCCAAAATGTTAAAAACTAATCAAAATGCAGCGCAACTTAATTGAAAGCGGCAGCAGAGGCAAATATTGCTGTGGTTAGGCCTACAAAAATACTAAAAAAAGAAGAGAAAAGTAAACGCGTTTCGATGCGCGCTACCTGTGGGAATTTTAGCAATTACGCTAAAAGCAATTGAGAAAATAAAATAAAGTCGAGGAAACAGGCCACCAACCGCAAAAAAAAAGGAAGCACTGAGTCAGACTGTCTTCGCTTTCACACAAAGAGCTGCCGGAACAGTCAGCCAAATATACACACACACAAACACGGATACTTAACCAAACAAAGGGTATTTTTTCCGCGTAAGTCCCCAAAGAAATATATATGCATTTAGTACAAGCCGTAAGAGCTTTGAGGTTAGTCATGAAATGCCATTTTGTGGCTTTCACTTTGTTACAATTTGGTGGATTATATTGCAAATAATATATCTGGCTGTTTACAGGGTATTATAATGGGCTAAATCAAATGGAATCTTTAAATCGAAAGAAAGTCAGCGTGAATAAAGCTATTTACAGGGTATTTTCATAATATTTAAATTTTATTATTATTATTACTAATGCTTGCAACACATTTTACAGTTTCCTTAGCTGTCCATGTTTTAGCCTGCAATAAAATATATATATTGAGTATAGAATATCTCCTAGCCGTTGAGAATCTATTTTTTTTTGTTTTCTTTTAAAAATATAATATATTGTATGCAACAAAAAGCTTTAACATCAACTAATATTAAAGTAATGGACATAAATCTGTTTAGTCGAGTTTAGAAAAATGTTCGATAAGCTTACTATAAGTGCGGGATTAATATATTGTGCCTAGGGTATCTCAAAGTCGTTCAATCCCATTTTTATTGTGCTTATTCTGAGTTCAACTTTAAGTTTTGTTCTAATAAAGGTAGTTTACTCAACATAAAAAATAATGGGTACCTCTGAGTCGTTCATATGGTGCAACATAACATGAATATATATTTATTTATATATATTATATTTGATATAGTATGTAATATTTAGATCAGTTTCATTAAACTTATCAAATTTATCTATAGGGTATCTCATAGTTGTGCATTTGGGTATTATTCTCGATTTTTTCACATTTTTTATCGGGCCTTGCTGACTGTTCTACAATCAACTTAAACTTAGATTACACGAGCGCCGACGCTAAGCTCTGAAAAATGTGTGCCAGAGCCGCGCAAAGGTGCTAGCCGCAGCCTCCATGCCACGCCCCTTAACCGCAGAGCATTCGAAAGGCGTTGCTTGGGCAGTGGGTGGTTGGGTGATGGTGTTCTCTTTGCTATTAGTATTTAAAATGGGATTTACCTGGGGTTTTCACGCCTCGCACTCTCAGCACTTAGCACACTTTTAATTTGATTTAATGTGTCTACGCGTCGCGGATCACCATCTACTATTTGGCATCTCACTCGCACACCTCTCGCCGCATCTCTTTCCGCTCATGTCTCTGTGTCTGCCTGGATTGTTGCGTAAATGTAACAAACGTGTTAGTTGGGTTTCCTTCTGTTCCTCTCATTTTTGTTTCCATTTGCGTGAATTAAATTCTGCAGCGCTCAAAAGTAGGCAACACTTTTCCCTGGCGACAACTTGTGGCTGGAACTGGAAAGTCGTTTTAGTTTTTTCGTTTTTAAGTGTAACCCAACTGTGGTCTTCCTGCTTACTTGGCCAAGAATTTTAAATAATTTCTTGTCAACTAATACTCTGTGTTGTAAAGGAGCGGGTATGCTGATACCGCGCTGCCCGAAGTAACTCTGTGTACATAAATAATGGATGGAAGCATATATTATTTATGTACGAATTTAGAATATATATGTATAAAGAATAAAGCTTTTCTGATACAGAAGTTTGACATTTTTACAGGTTATTTAATAATCAAGCATATATGTAAGTCTAAACTTATTTGAAATAAAATATTTATAATATAAAAGAAAATTTTAATGATATTGAAATTGTATGCAGGGTATCTGCTAGTCCGGCACATGCATAATAAATTCTTGTTACAAAAACTTGAACACTAGTCGCTAGTCAAGCAAATATATGAGACCTAGTTAATATTATCCGATTTGCTTTATAATCAATCATAGTTAATATCATGTTGAGTTGGTAATGACTTTATTAAACTGTTTACAGAGTATCTATAAGTTGAGCATTTCATGTTCACGATGCTTACTTATTAGCTGTTGCTGCTGCCTTGGCTTGTATTTAATGCTAATTTTATTCAGACTCTATTTGGGGTCCTTGCCTGCTTTGCTGCCGCGCCTCGCCTGGCGAACGGGCCAGATCAAAGCTGAGGCAAAATTTGAGCCGGCGGCAGATGCTTTGAACTTGCGCCTTCTTGTCTGGGTCTTGTCTTTGCTCTGGGCTTAACCGCAATTAAAACAGATTTCTTGTTGATGTTGATGTTGTCTTTCGTAAATTTGTGTAAATCAATTGTATGCGTAGTTTAAGCAATTAATTTATCCGCATTTAAATTGGATTCCCGTTACGATGCTCAGACATTTGTGACTTTCTACAGGTGAATAAGTTGCCAGAAATTGATTAAGTCTTTCAATCAAGTGCTAAGGAAAGAAAGAAAAAATAAGAGAACTTTTCTAGTTATTAACTAAGGTGAAAGCTGAGAACAGCACTTAGTTATTTGATGAAGTTTTCTGTAGAGAAACTTAGATAATAAGAGAGATAAGAGATAAAATATATTTTGGCCATATTTTATTTATAGAAAATAATCAAAAATGCTTAAGTCAAGCGTAACCAACTGCAGAATACCCGTTCACAACAGCACTAACTTTCCATGTTTAGGCACAAGTTAGAAGAAGAAGAAGTCCTCTTTTATTCTGGCTAAATTGGGTATCTATATGACCCCAGTTTTCAAACCTCTCTATACTTACCAATATACCCTTTTCCCATAGTAAATCAGAAATTTCAATTTGGCTTTGATTTATATTATTTGCTTGACCTTTATGCGTCATGTTTATATTTATATATCCTGTTATACATATTTAATGCATTCTATTGGCATATTTAAGGACATCTATTATAATATATAAAATTTATGAGCCAGCCAACACGCTGGCAGCTCATTTGATATTGGTAACTCGGGGAATTCGAGCTGAGCTGTGTAAGTGTTGGCTGTTAAATAATAAAAATTGAATTAATAATGAAATGTCAACATATAATTACTGGATATTGATAGAAGTTATGAAGGGAACAATTATTGTGATAGACATGAAACGTGTTATACCCTGAACAACTTGGAAAAAAGGAATGCAATTTATTTTGGTTATGATTTTTGAAAAAGGCATTGAAGGCCCTATAAGCAGCCCAAGCGCAGCAGCTGCGTAAGGTGTATTTCCTAGTCGGGCATAGCCGATCATATCACTTAAGGCTAGAGCTCTTTAGTCTAATTACCATATAGCAGAAATTTCATTTCTCGACTTCATTCAATTTTAATAATAATCATATATCATTGAAACGACTTGATGATATAGTATTTAATCGATTCGGAGGCACATTGCGCTCATGAATTTCTAGCTTCGAAATTTGTTCAGCTTCTCATTAGCTAGGGAGCACATGTTGTCGCTGCTCCAATAAGTAGGCAATTGTTCTACACACTCGTAAATGCAGCATGATTAATATGCTTGCGCAGCAACTACTACAGTGTGTCCTTGTGTGTGTGTGCGTGTGTGTGTGCACCCTATGCAGACATTGCGAGTCTGTCTGCTAGTTAATTTATAGACTTATCAACACTTAATCACCGGAAAAATGGCCTGGCGCCTGTGTGTAAAATTGCAGAGAGAGTATTACAAGCCATATACCAAAGGCCAGTGCCACGCATGTTGATTACAGTGACAGAGATGGGTAGCGTAGCGCGTGCGTGCGTGCGAGAGAGAGAGGGGCAAGGCGTGTGTGTTT